AACTGATTTTTTGTTTTTTTGTTTTTTTATTTTTGACGATGGATGTTTACTCGTTACTGCTTAAGGCTAGGAAGTGCCCAGGGTGGCAGTGGCGCAATCTCTGATCACTGCAAACCTCTGCCTCCCAGGTTCAGCGAGTTCTCCTGCCTCAGCCTCGCCGACGATAGCTGGGGATTACAGGTCTGCCACCTATTGCCCCAGCTAATTTTTATATTTTTTCAGTAGAGCAGAGAGCGATTCCAATCACACATGTTGGCCAGGCTGGTCTCAATACTCCCTGAACCTCAGGTGAAACCACCACCTCGCCGGAACACATACACCAAAGTGTTAGGCGATTAACAGGGCGTAATCCATTGCGCAAGCTGGGCGCCTGATTTTTAATTTTTTTTTTCTTTTCATGGAGATGATGATGAGTCCTTCACTGTGACTTGCCAGGCTTTTGGTCTCAAAGATCCTAGAGTTCAGAGTGATCCTTTCCTGCCGCAGACCGCAAGTAGTCTAGAGTTTACCAGTGTTGAGCCCACTGTGCCAGCCTTCAACCTCGACGTTACAGAACGCACTTGCCTACGCTGATTTTGCACTCTCCCATCTGCGCTCCATTGGCCACTTCCATGTCACCCACAACACATGCCTAATGGCCCATGCAGTACTGCCCAACAACTCCTCTCCCCCAGACCGCCGGAGGGAATCTTCCCAGGCACTGATTGAAGTTGCCACCAGGGTTGGCGCCAAGAAATGTAAGAGCACGTTGGCCCCATGAAGCCAAGAGTGCCTCCCAGTCAAAGCTGACATCAGTTGAGGAATCATCGAATAGACCAAGGCAGGGTGGCCAGGGTGGCACTGACGGCTGGGAGGGGATACAGAAACAGCGAAGCCTGCCTTCTGTGGTCCAAAGCCTCCAGGCTGGACCCCAACACGGCCGCCCGCTGCCTGGTCGGCAGCGCCCGTTCCTGATGCTCGAGATCGAGGGATTGGAGAGTCCTGGCGATCAAGTCCACATCCAACGGACTGGCAGGCGGGACGACATGGGGGAAGGGGCGCATTCGACCAATCAGGGGTAGGCAATCCTAGTATATCTGGCGCAAGATTCCTAATAGCTGGGACACAGGTGTGTTCGCCCAAGCACTGAGAGATTTAGGCACATACGACGAACTCCTACTGGCACAACAGCCGGCAACAGTTCCATGTGCAGTTGGGCTGACCACTCTGCCAGCAGGGGCTGGGAGAAGGAAGTTGAGGTTCACAATGCGTACATATTAGCTCTAGAGCCTTCTCTGCTTTTTCTTTCTTATTTTCTTTCTTAATATTTATTTATATCTATTTAATATAGATGGAGTCTCACTCTGTGCCCAAGCTGTAGTAGCGGATGAGTGCGCGATCTCGACTCACTAGCAGAGCCGTCCACCATCCTTGGGAGCTAAGCAAATATCTCAAGCTGCTTCAGTCTCCTGGTGCTAGCTGGGACTACAGATGCCCACTAACCTGCCCAGCAAATCTTTTGAATATTTTAGAGTAAGAGATGGGATTTCTCCATGTTGGCCCAGGCTGGTCTTCCGCAACGACTCAGGAGATGCTGCCTGCCTCGGCTGCTCCCAAATGTATGGATTACAGCACGAGTCACTAAGGCCGCCCCACCATTTTGACCAGGCTGGCCTTGAACTCCTGACCTCAGGTGATCCACCTGCCTCAGCCTCCCAAAGTGCTGGGATTACAGGCGTGAGCCTCCGTGACCAGCTATTCTTTCTTTCCCTCCACCGTGCCCGGGAGAGAGGCTGCCCTCCCATGCAGACCTGACCTTCCTCATGTGATTCCTCTCCCCACCACCTACTTGATACTTGATATTCTCACCATGACAGCACATTTGCACACACTTTTCTCTCCTCCCAGAACGCTTCCCTCCTCCCACTTGTTTTTGTTTTTTAAGAGACAGGGTCTTACTCTGTTGCCCAGACTGGAGTGCAGTGGCGCAATCATGGCTCACTGCAGTCTTGACTCCCTGGGCTCAAACCATCCTCCTGCCTCAACCTCCCAAATATCTGGGACTACAGGCACATGCCACCATGCCCGACCTTTTTTTTTTTTTTTTTTTTTTTTTTTTGGAGGAGTTCGCTTTGAGCCCAGGCGAGTGCAGTGCCGGAATCCGCCCACTGCAACTCCGCTCCCGGGTTACGCCATTCTCCGGCTCAGCCATCCCCGAGTAGTTGGACTAACAGGCGCCCGCCACCTCGCCGGCTAGGTTTTTTTTTTTGATTTCTAGTAGAGACGGGTTTCACCGGTTAGCCAGGATGGTCCTCGATCTCCTGACCTCGTGGATCCGCGTCTCGGCCTCCCAAAAGTGCTTAACATTTGGAAGAGATGGAGTCTTGCTATGTTGCCTAGGCGGCTGGTAATGAAACTCTTGAGCTCAAGTGACCCTCCTGCTTGGCTCCCAAAGTGCTGGGATTATAGGTGTGAGCCCACCGCACCCAGCTTATTGTCTGTCATTTTTTTTTTTTTTTTTTTTGAGATGGAGTCTCGGCTCTGTTGCCTAGGCTGGAGTGAAGTGGCACCGATCTTGGCTCACTGTGAGCTCCGCCCCGGGTTCAAGCGATTCTCCATGCCTCAGCCTCCCGAGTAGCTGGAATTAAAGGTGTGCACCACCACGCCTGGCTAATTTTTGTATTTTAGTAGAGACTTGGTTTCTCCCATGTTGGCCAGGCTGGTCCTCGAACTCCTGACCTCAGGTGATCGCCCACCTTGGCCCTCCCAAAAGTGCTGGGATTACAGGCATGAGCCACTGCCACCCGGCCAATGTCTGTCTTTACCCCAACATCTTAGTCCTCCATGAACGCTCTCATTCAATAAATACTTGCTGAATGAAGGAGTAAACCAAAACCCCATGTGTGTCCTCTGAATCTGCAGAGCATTAATGAGGGCAAGGACCACGACCTATCCATAGGCAACCCCAGGCCCAGGAGAGTAGAAAAGTACTACTAACGGCTGGGTGTGCGGTTTCACCACCTGGTAAATTCCC